ATGAAAAACACATTCATGTTCTTTGTCCTAATAACTGTCCACATCCATGTTCTGTCATTGCCGTGTTTCTTCCCTCACTTTGTTAGGCTCTTTGAAAATGATTTTGGGACACCTGAGTGGCTCAGTCGGTTGAGTGTCCAACTTCAGCTCAGATCATGATCTCACGGTGGGTGGATTCAAGCCCCACGTCTGTCTTTGTGCTGACAGCTGACAGCGCGGTGCCTACTTTGGATTCTCTGTCTCCTTTTCTCCCTGCCCCTCCCCCACTCAAATTCTCTTTCTCTCTCTCTTCCCTCCTCCCCTCCCCCCCCGAAATAAACATTAAGAAGAAAAAACAAAAATGATTTAGCAGTATTGGTTCCTTAAGAGAAGAAAGAGTGTGATATCCAAATAGAAAATTTGTATATATACTTTTATGAGTTGAAAAAACTGCTTGGGGGCCTCGCCTGGGTGTTAAGCATTTGACTTTGGCTCAGGTCATAATCTTGCAGTTTGTGAGTTTGAGCCATACATCGGGCGCTGTGCTAACAGCTCAGAGCTTGGATCCTTTTTTGGATTCTGTCTCTCTCTGTCCCTCCCCCATTTGTGAGCGATGTTTAATTAATTAATTAATTAGTTTGAGAGAGCTCAAGCAGGGAAGGGGCAGAGAGATTGGGAGACAGGGGATCTGAACCGGCCTCTGTGCTGACAACAGTGAGCCCAATATTGGGCTCGAACTCATGAAATGTGAGATCATGACCTGAGCTGAAGTTGGATACTCAACTGACTGAGTCACCCAGGAGTCCTGGGAAAGGGGTTTTATTAAGTTAAGGTGCTATAACAGAAGACTTTTGTGGCATTGCTAAGTGACATTCCAAAGCAGTGGAGAAAATGTGGATCATATGGATCATTTAGTAGATGTTACTTGAACAGTTGCCACTTAATGAATTTTTTTGGTTTAATAACTTATTTAAAAAAATTGGGCTTTAGCCTGTATTATTGACCAAATTAAGTTTTAGACTTAAAAGTAATTTTAGAGAAACTGAAAGAAAATATAGATGAGTATTAATCTCATATGAGAAAGACCTTTTTACCATATAATTTGAAAAAAATGAACAGCAAAGATAGTTTTTACTGCATACAAGTTGAAGCTTTATTTCACAAACACATTAAACACTGAATTAAAGGTGGCAATCTGGGAAAGCTTTGTAAAAAGCCCTCAAATGTCAGTATGGTTTAAGAACCATTAAGGGTTTTAAGAACTCTTTAAAAATTAGTGAGATAATCTTTTCTCTGCCCTTTCAAAGTTGAGAATGGCTAAAGTATGTTAGCAGCGAACTGATACTATAAATATTTCAGTGTGAATATTAGAAACTGATCTTCTTAATCAGAGAAATACCAGGTTGACTTAGTCATACCTCTTCTACTTACCAAATTAGTGATGACTGAAGAAATGGGAAAAATTAATTTTGAAGAATATGCACTCTGACTTAGGCATTCAAATACTGAGTAGGGAAGTAAATAGGTAGACACTTTAGGGAAAATTGGCAGTATAGCAAACGGTTCAAATATTTATATTCTTTGAACTAGTTATTTAGTTTTTAGGAATTTATTAGGAAATAATCAGGGGTACACAAATTTATGTGTATTTCAGTAAATCGTGAATATGTGACACCTGCCAGTTAATATTCTTGGTTCCATGGTGGTGGACAAGCCACAGGGGCCTTACCTTAGTGGAGCCTTACAGTTTTGAGGGATAGACACCCATAATACCAAAAATAATTATGACCTGTATGAATTCAGTGAAGGAAATAAACAGGATTTTGTGAGAAATAATGAAGAAGGTGTACTTCAGTCAGGGAAGACAGTGGGAGAGTGCTGTCCAGAATTGTCTGAACCACAACTGTGCCGCTGTGTTGTCCTGCCTAGATGTGATTCTGTAAGTGTTTAGTCAGAACCTCATATGTCTTAGTTGCTCATCTGGTAAGCTCATGCAGGCAGTTGATGTCTGAACTGTGGCTCCTCTTTGTACTGAGCAGATTATTATGTAAACAACCCATTGTCATCAGAGTCAAATCAGTTTGTCTCCTTAAGGTCTAAACTCAGCTCGTGTTGGGTGAAGATCTCAATAAACCTAGTTCTCTTAGTGAGTGAACAATACAGTGATAGGTGACTTCTGCTTCACGAAGATAGGAAGAAGTGATATCAGGGACCAAACGGTGAGATTTCTGAGGGTTTGGTTGCCCAAAGTTAGTATGGTAACTTTTCCAACATCTCCTCAAAACTGAAAAAGATCAGAAGGATTCAGAGACTCCACTTTCTGGGTCTGTATTCCTACTGAAAATGTAGTTTTTTTTTCTTTTTTTCCCCCTTTTGCTTCACTGGAGTTTGCTCTCTTTACTCAGCTAAGGATACCTGTGTTATGTTTTTGACAGATATACTGGACCCAGCCCTGCTTCCCCAACGTGTACAGGGGAGGTGAGAGGGAGGTGAGTGGCACAGGTGGCCTCCCTCTTATTCTACACTTCTCGTTGTTTCACTGTGCCAGACTGGAGTCATGCCCAATAGAGTGATTTTTTTTGTTTTTGTTTTTTTGGAGGGCCAGGTGATTCTCTGAAACTTATTTCCCCTTAGTTGTGGTTTAATTAGGATAGTGAGAATCTTGTTTGTTCATTCATGTGTGTGTTTATTTAGATGATGAGGCATTGGTCTACTTTAAGGGAATTATAGTTTCTTTTTCATTTACATACATTCATTGAATTTCTATGACATTGAAAACACTGGATGGAAATCATATCACATTAATGCCTGCTGTTGGCCAGATTGTTTAAAACATTCCTTAGGGCTGCCCCCGTTAGAGAGATGCATTCTGGTTTTAGTCATTGGCTAAAATTAAACTATAGTATGCAAAGGCCAGATGAAGTAAAGTTGAAGTAAAGAGCTGGATAGGGGCCATATCATGCTAGTCTTTGGTGAGAGATTTGGGCATTTTCAAAGTATAATTGGAAGCCATGGCAGGATTTTAAGTTTTAAGCAAAGGCATAACATGAATTGTCTTATGTTTGAAATTATACCCCTTTGGTGAATGAATTAGATGGGAGGAAAAATATATACAAGGAAGCAGGAACGAATTAGGACTTTTTCAGAAGTCCTAGAGAGAGATCATAGCAGGCTTAGACTTCGGTGATAGCAACAGAGCTGTAGAAAAATGGATGGATTGAGGGGCGCGTGGGTGGCTTAGATGGTTACCATCTGACTCTTGATTTCGGCTCAGGTCATGATCCCAGGGTTGTGGGATTGAGCCCCATGTTAGGCTCTGTGCTGAGTGTGGAGCCTGCTTGGAGTTCTGTCTCCTTCTGTCCTTCTCCCCCCACCACCCCCCCTTGTTCTCTCTTTCTCTCTCAAATTAAAAAAAAAAAAGAAAGAAAGAAAAACTAGTAGATTGAGATAACATAGAACTGACAGGTTTTGGTGATGATATTTTATATTTTGCACATAAGTTTAGAGCTCAGGAAAAATGAGAGCCAAAGGTCTATATTTTATAGTCAACATATCAGTGGTCATAGGTGAGATTCAGTATATGTTGCAGATGAGCTCTCCTGAAAGGGTAGAGGGTTTAGGACTAGGGGAAGTTTGTGAGGAAGAGCCTGAGAAGGAGTGCTACTAAGGTAGAAGTCAAACTAGAGAGCCTGGTATCTTTGAAGTCATGAGAAGAGTAATTTAAGAAGATGAATGTGATTTAAGAGTATTTTTTGTAGGTTTCATTGAAAAGGAAAAGTTGAAACATAGTAAACAGTGGGGATTAAATTATTGTAATTGAGGTGCTGCCTAGTCTGCCCTAGATAACCACATCACTTCAGGTATCTGATCAAATATCTCCTTGATGAGACCTTTTCTGACAATTCTGTCTCTCTCTTACTTTATAGAATCTATAAATTCTATAGAATTTTTTATCTATAAAATCTATAGAATCTATTTGTGCCCCAGCACTGTTACCAACTAGGAAAGAAGAAACAACTAAATGGGCACAATGTTAGTTAGGATTCTGTGATTTGTGAGATGAATACTGATTTTAGCTTTGTTTAAAATGTGACATACTGTAAATAATAGATGAAATAGTACAAAATAGCACTCTGTTTTGCTCCTGTATGGATAGCAGTTTGCTTGTCACCACTCCTAAAATGCAGGCTTCGTGACGACTGATGTTTTTGTGTACTACTGGTTCCCCAGTGCCTGGAACAGTGCCTGGTGAATAATAGTAGGCATAGCGAACAAATCCTAAATCTGCATTTTTTAGAATAAAAAGAATAAATGAAAACATACTGCCTTGTAGTAGACTTCTTCACTTAATATATTGATTTTTTTTTTTCCTGTGTCCTTGTATAGTTTTCAAAGATTAGGTGTTTGATGGCTGTGTACTCTTTTATCATGTGTGTACAACATTATCTGGTGTGTCCCAGCATTTTAAACTTGGGAATAAAAGAGCCAGCATGTGGACTTGGCTTATTACTGGAAGAATTCAACTTTTATTTCTGCCTTTTTAATTCCTTGAGGGTAAAATAGTGATCTGTAGAGATAACAGTACCTGGACCAGAGAGTCCCTGGTGCCTTACTGGAATGGAAGTACCTGCTTATTTTTCCCCATAAAGGCTTACATATGACCAGAGAAGAGAGGTTTCTAGTATACCTCACCTTCCTTAAGAAAACAGGTTTCTGTCGGTTTAGTTACCTTTAAAGTGAGAGAGTGGCACTACATGGTTTTCAGGTTTCTTCCTGGTAATAAATTCTTAATTTCTGACATCATCTTTTGTTTTGCTGTTTTTTAAATTTATTTTTTGTTTTATGATGAGAATTATAAAACATGGAGTCATGACTTTTACAATATGTATGCATTTCTACAGGCAGTTTTTTTCCTACCTTTTAGGTGAACAGAAATCAAATATATTAATATTAATCTCATTAGGACAAATTTTTAAGTTCAAAATATGAAAAGTAAAAACTCTTAATTTTTTTTTTTTTAGAAGTCAATGAAGGGATTCTATTTTGCAAAGCTGTACTATGAAGTAAAAGAATACGATCTTGCTAAAAAGTAAGTACCAAACTGTAAACATACTTTAGTTTTCTAAAATCAATTTTTCCCCTTGTATTCTTACTTGAAATGGCTGAAAACATGATGTTTTAGCAGTTCTTCTTCTTCCATGTCCTGGAAATAAAGTATTCGATCACTTCAGACTGTTATAAAGAACTAGCCTCAATTCCATGGAGATTGAGCCTAGAATGAGTATTTTCTGCATGCCTGCTGCTTGTTTATACTCAGGACAAGAAATCATTAGGCTTAAAACACTTCTAAGGAATAAAAGAGAACCGTGTTTATTTTTAATTTCTTTCTGGTTAGATACCTATTTAATCAGTTTGAAAATTACCAATGAATATAAAATTAAACTGTGATTTCTGGGCAGGAGAATGAATAGCTTCTATAAAAGATCTTTAATTGATTCAGTAGGTAACACTCTGAAGCTTTGTCTCATCTGTAAGGCAAAGAAGGTTGGTGATAGATTGGGAGTGGCTTAAGGCAGGAAATTAGAAGGGAAGGCAGGCAGGTTAAAGCATTAATGGGAAGATGGAAATGCTATTAAGTAAGGAAAATGATAACACCTTTATTTAACAGCAATGGGGCTGTCAATACTGTTCCTTATTAATGTGACACTTTTTCCTTCAGATTTGGTCTTTGGTCTAACTTCTCTTAGATAATACTCACTGAGCCTTGAAGATGTTTAACTTATTTTTTAGCTGTTACTTGATGTAAGAAATGGAAATTACCTACATTTACTAGTTTATTTAGTAAGTTTTCCTCTGTTCTATTTTAGATGGGAACAGTACTGTTAGATATTATTTTTTTATTTAGAAGGTGAATAGTACATTCTTGGGGCACCCTGGCTGGCTCACTCAGTAGAGCATGCAACTCTTGATCTTTG